TGCGTTCTACATAGTCTCCCTAAACACAAGACCAAGTTGCGACAACGAGGTCAACCCACTTCAATAAGTCTAAAGGAGACTGCGACCATACCCGAGGCCACAACATCTTGGTCTTCACATCTTCAATATTTAGCTATGTTTATTGTTTAAAGCCCACTTATCTGAATGCCAATTTTCTTAAATGTATAAGATTAGTTAAATTAATTGAAAAAAATATCAAAAAAACTTTAAAAGTCGTCTTATTTTTTTTGTTTCTAGACAACGCCATCCCCATCCGTTCTTGGTTTTCAGATTCTCGAGATACTGCTCTTCTCTGCTTGCTGCCCATTCTCGATGCACTTCGATTCGCTAGTGATGTACGTTCTGTGCTCAGCCGAAATTTGCATCGATCACAGCCACCACTCATTTACAGCTAATCACCTCCCAGACACCAGCAGATCTCTAAACTTACCCATCTAGCTTAATTATATTCCATATTCACTCATAGAATATCTGCCACTACTTTATCTCGGCCAACTTTTCAATGATCTTGGCCCGCATTTTTGAATCCATCGTAACTCCAGTTTTCCGTTTTACCTCCTTAGACTTAAAGGAATGCTTAATTTCTATTAAAATGATTAAAGGGGACAAAGAAGATTTCTCAGAAAACAGGTCTTCAGCGCCCTGGGCTGTGAATCCCACATCGGCTCTCTTTTCCCTTTTGGGCGGAAGGTGACAGTCTAAAAGGGCTAACTCACAGACACTGGCATTTTTTCTGAAGTTTTCTCCTTCGCTTGCACGGTATTCTATTACTTTCGTATTCTTAGGCTGGTCACAAATCGGCACTTGAGCTTTTAAACCAGGACTATTTTCTTATATGCTGTTAAGTACATGTACGCGTTTTATATATATATATACTCTTCCTGTACTTTCTAAATTCCTTTGGTGCGTTTCTTTATCTTCGGTCCTAAAGGCCTTTATCTATTATAATCTCCTCATCATCTGGATTATTTGACCAAGAAAATCTCATTTGTTTTCTGCCTATATCTTCCAACCCCTATCTTATTCCGATTTATTCATCGATAAGACAACGAAATGCTACCTTTCAGAGAAAAAAATTCAGCTGTTAATGAGGTTGGCCGTTTCTCATAAACAGCACTTGCCAAATTTCGTGCTAATCTGAATTGCCATTCCACCCCGGAGCCATATATCGCCTGTGCATAGTAATTAAACTGGAAGCACGCCCTTCCTTTTCATGCCTGCTTCCCGTATTTACTCTTATTGGATTCTTATTGAATTCTTGGTCCCATGATCTTCCATCATAAGTATTTCCCCTGGACACCAATTTTCTTAAAACTATTGGTGCGAAGTCTCGATGTTCCATACTTGGCTACTCAACTTATATTCGAGCGATTCTAGAGCTGTCTGACATCGCATTTTCTCTAGCTGATCGTTCAATCTGTATAAATATTCATTTGCATATAGCTTATAATGATTGCCAATCAGGGTACTGCTTCAATTCAAATCTCTCCTTAATTTTTGCATTTTTTCACCCTTGTATGTCACTGCTTTTTTTACAGAAGCAAACAAAGCTTTTGTCTTCTCAAACTGGAATCTTCCTTGCGCCACATTGCCACCCAGGCTCCTATTCTATAGCTCGTCAACCTCTCTGGCTCTATATCCCGAACGTTTTCTTTAAGATCTTATATTCCAATTTACCTAGTCTCTTTTATGTTCAAAACATCTAATCATGAAAAGGCACTCTTAGCCTGATTGTAA